CAGCAGCCCGACGACGACGACGACCCGTGTTACGAATCGCTCCTGCGCGCGTGCCTGTGCGAATGTCATGACTACCTCGTCAGTTGGCGTGTCCCGACTATAGCGCGGACGCCGGCCGGCGGAGGCGACGGTTCGTCTTGAGCGCCGGCGAGCGCACGCGCCGTCAGTAGCGGAACAGACGGTTGATCTTCACCACGAACGCGCGGTTGCGGAGCGCGAGCGAACGGCTCGGGCGCAGCGGATCGACCTCCTGTTCCTCGGTATAGACGACGAAGAGCTCGCTTCCCGGCGAGTATTCCCATCGCAGCCGCAGGTTCGCGCCGAGCGTCCGGGTCGTGGAGTTGTACTGCAAGAGCCCGCTGGCGAACGTGCGGGGGGTGAAGGTGTAGGTGACGCGCCCGCGGAGCAGGTCGGTACGGAACGAGCCCGCCGGCAGTTCGATCCAGTTGAGCGAGAGGCTCGGCTCGATCGACACGCGCGAGGAGAGGTCGACGCGCCCGCGGTTGAGGTCGACCGATGTGAGGCGGCCCCCGAAGTAGCCGCCGCTGGCCACTTCCACGCTTCCGGTCAGCGGCCGCCGCGGCCCGAGCGCATACGTCAGCCGCACGTCCCGGAAGGCGTAGCCACCCACCGGGATCGCGAGCTCGGCGCCGGATGGCGAGAACGGCTCACAGCAGCAGCTCGTAGCTGTCGCTGAGCCGCACGCCGAACTGGTCGCTGTTCTCGAGCTCGGACTGGAACGCAAGCTGAGTCTGGCGGGTCTCCAGCCGCCCCGTGTCGGCGGTGACGAAGTAGTCGAGGCTCGCCTCGAGGACGAACTGCCGCACCGCTGCGATCGACCGCGGCCGGGGGCTGAAGCGGCCAGAGACCGATGTTCGGCGGAAGTTGTCGCGCCTCAGGAAGCCGACCTCGGGGCGGAAGTTCCTCTCCACCAGCAGGTGATCGAGCTCCAAGCCGAAGCGGTCGCCGCCGTAATCCAGCCGGGCCTGGTAGCTCGAGTCACGCCCGCTGAGGCCGGTGGTGCGCGTCCGGGAGTAGTAGCCGAGGAAGTTCAGGTCGTCGAAGAACGAGAAGTTGGCGTCGGCGCCGTAGGCGGCGTTGGAGCCGGCGCCGTCAAGAGAGACGGAGCGGTGGGTCGCGATGGCCCCGACGCTGCTGCGCCGGAAGAGGTCGCGCTTGACGCGCAGCACGGTGAAGGTCGTGTCGTCGCCGGGGGTGCCGGATTCGTCGTCGGTCCGGATGCCGAGGGCGCCCACGTCGAACGATCCCACCTTGCCCGTCACCCGCCCGCCGCCGAGGATCGGCACCACGTGCTGCGCCTGCAGGCCGATGCGGCGGCTGTAGAAGAGTGTCGGGGCGTCGCCTCCGCCGAAGATGCTCTCCCGGCGCAGGCTGCGGGCGGTCCGGAAGCTCCCGCGCGCGAAGTCGAAGATGCCCCGGCCTTCGAGGAAGAACTCCCGCTTCTCGGGGAAGAAGAGGTTGAAGCGGGTGAGATTTACCTGCTGCTCGTCCACCTCCACCTGCGCGAAGTCGGTGTTGTAGGTGAGGTCGGCGGTCAGGTTCTCGGTGATGCCGTACTTCAGTCGACGCGCTGCATGTCGGTCGCCCCCCACTCGCTCGGCGGCGCACTGTCCCAGCAACGGCCGGCGACGTAGAAGTTCTCGTCGTCGAACATCACCCAGGCGTCGGTCCGCTCAGTGGCCGGCGCACCCTCGTCGGGGAGCTGCTGAATGAAGTCGGAGACCGGCGCGACCGCGGTGTAGACCGGTTCGTCGAGCCGCCCGTCGACGCGAAGCCCGGTCGCCAGGCGGATGGCGCGCACCGTTGCGCGGCCGCCGTCCCGGGAGACCACCGCCGGCGGGACCGGAGGGGGCGGGTCGTCGATGGAGACGTTGGGGTCGGTTGCGGCGGCCGGCGCCGGAATCCCGGCCGTCGTCTGCGCGGCAGCCGGGGCGCTGGCCGGCCCGACCCCCAACGCGACCGTAAGCGCCAGGCACAGGGCGGCGGCGAGCGGGGCGAGCGGAGCGCGCCGGGAGGTTGAGCGTCGACGAGGGAGAGGCATGGAGGTCGGCGAGCGGATGCGAACCGCTGGCACGAATCCGGCGTCGAGCGGTCGCCGCTTGTCACGCGGCGTCCGAGCCAGACATCGTCGTCGGAGATTCTATCTTTGACCGCTCGGCCGCGCTCTCGTCCGACCGGACCGATGCCGAGTCGCACGGAGTTGTTGACAGTCCGGGTGGCTGAGCGTACGGTATGCGAATGGTGGCGAAAGGGCCGCTTCCGCGTTTCTGCGAGGCACTTTCGGCGTTGCCCCCCGGTTCCCGCAATCGCGGGCAAGCTGTTGAAGTCTCCGGCAGGACTCGCGGAAACGAGCATGCGGCCGCTCGCGAGCTCCGTCCGACATGCCCCTCGGGGATGGGAAGGTGGTGACCATGTCGTGGCTGTTCAGGGTGACGACCGGAGTCGTGGTCGCGGTGGCGCTGGGCGGTCTGGCACCGGACGTGAGCCATGCCCAGACGACGGCCGGCACGGAGGTGTCGCCGAGCGCCTTCGTGGACCGCTACTGCGTCACGTGTCACAGCGACCGCGGATATGAGCGCGGCGCGGTGCCGATGTCGCTGCAGGGGCTCGACATGGGGGAGGTCGGCGCCCATGCGGAGCTATGGGAACAGGTGCTGCGAAGGGTTCGCAGCGGGATGATGCCGCCGCCGGTGGCGCGGCGGCCGGACGATGCCGCGCGCGTCGCCTGGGTCGACTGGCTGGAGACGGAGCTCGATCGCGCGGCAGATGCCCGTCCGCCGCTGGGTCGGCCGATGACGGTGCATCGCCTCAACCGGGTCGAGTACCGGAACGCCGTGCAGGATCTGCTCGGACTCGACGTGGACATCGAGGCCCTCCTGCCGCCGGACGACGCGGACGCCGAGGGCTTCGACAACAACGCCGAGGTGTTGTCGGTCTCGACAACGCTGATGGAGCGCTACCTGACGGCGGCGCGGCGGATCAGCCAGCTCGCGTTGGGCGACCCCGGATTGGCGTCCCGGTCCCAGGCCTACCAGGTGCCGGAGCTGGAGGTGCAGGACGATCGCACCAGCGAAGACCTTCCGTTCGGGTCGCGGGGCGGTCTGGCCGTGCGCCATTACTTCCCCCTCGACGGGGAGTACCTCTTCAAGGTCGACCTGCGCCGCAACTTCTACAACTACATCCGCGGCCTCGGGAACACGCCGCACGAGCTCGACCTGCGGTTGGACAAGGCGCTGGTCAACAGATTCCTGGTCGGCGGCGCGTTCGAGGGCTCGCGGTGCGCGACGAGTTACTGCGGTTCCGGCAGCGGCGGGTTCCCCGAGTGGGGCGCCTATTCGGTCACCGCGGACGAGGGGTTGCAGTTCCGAATGCCGGTGCAGGCCGGGATGCGGCTGGTGGGTCTGGCGTTCCTCCGGCGGCCGGCCATCGACGAGGGCGTCCTGCAGCCGCGGCCGAGCCCGGCGACGTTCGGCTACAGCACCGACGATCGGCAGGACGGGAATCCTGCGGTGGCGAGGCTGACCATCACGGGGCCCTTCGACGGCGAAGCGCCGCTCGAGACGCCGAGCCGGCAGATGATCCTCGGATGTCGGCCGGCGCACAGCGGGGAAGAGGCAGGATGTGCGGAGGAGATCCTCCGCAAGCTGGCGCGGCGCGCGTATCGGCGCCCCGTGACGTCCCGAGACGTGACCGCCCTGCTGAGCTTCTACGAGGCGGGACGGCGCACGGGCGGCTTCGAGGCGGGGATTCAGGCGGCGCTGGAGTTTCTGCTGACCGACCCGGAATTCGTGTTCCGCGTCGAACGTCGGTCGCCGGGCGTCGAGGCGGGGGTCGCGTATCCCGTGAACGACCTCGAGCTGGCCTCCCGGCTGTCGTTCTTCCTCTGGGGCAGCATCCCCGACGACGAGCTGCTCGACGCGGCGGCGCAGGGAACGCTGAAGGATCCGGCGGTGCTCGAGCGGCAGGTGCGGCGGATGCTGGCCCAGCCTCGCGCGCGGCAGACGCTGGCGGAGAGCTTCGCCGGCCAGTGGCTGGGACTGCGCCGACTCCGGAACGCGTCGCCGGACCCGACCGCGTTTCCGGAGTTCGACGAGAATCTGCGCGCCGCCATGTACCGGGAGACGCAGTTGTTCCTGGAGACGCAGTTCCGCGACGACCGTCCGGCGGCGGAGCTGTTGACGGCGAACTACACCTTCGTGAACGAGCGCCTGGCCGGGCACTACGGGATTCCGGGTGTGCACGGGAACCACTTTCGGCGGGTGGCGTTGCCGGACGATCGGCGGGCCGGCCTCCTGGGGCAGGCGAGCATTCTGACGCTGACCTCGTATGCGAATCGCACCTCGCCGGTGACGCGCGGCAAGTGGGTGCTGGAGAACCTGCTGGGCGCGCCGCCGCCGGAACCGCCGACCGACGTGCCGGACTTGAAGAGCCGCGAGGAGGGCGAGCCTCCCACGTCGGTGCGCGAACTCATGGAGGCACACCGGAGAAACCCGGCCTGCGCCACGTGCCACCGAACGATGGATCCGCTGGGGTTTGCACTGGAGAACTTCGACGGGATCGGGCGCTGGCGCACGACTGAGGACACGGGGGTTGCGGGCGAGCTCGGGCCGGCCATCGATCCGTCCGGCTTGGCGCCGGACGGCAGCGAGTTCGAGGGCATGAGCGGGCTCCGGCAGATCCTGGCGAGCGGGGAGGAGTTCACCGGCACGTTGACCGAGAGACTTCTGATCTACGCCATAGGGCGTCGGCTGGAAGCCGCCGACATGCCGGCCGTCCGGCGGATTCAGCGGGAAGCCGCGGCGGATGAGTCCCGCTGGTCGGCCTTGGTTCTGGCGATCGTGAACAGCGGACCGTTTCAGACGAGGAGGATAGGCTGATGATCGTGACGAAGACTGCGATCCCGCGTCGTACGATTCTGCGTGGCGTGGGCGCGGCGCTGGCGTTACCGCTCCTCGACGGAATGGTGCCTGCGTTGACGGCGCTGGCCAAGACGCCGGCCGTGCCGACGAAGCGTCTGGGAGTCGTGGTGGTGCCGAACGGCGCTCCTGCGGAGTACTGGACGCCGAAGACGGCCGGCGCCGGCTACGAGTGGACACCGAGCCTCGAGGCGCTGAAGCCGGTTCGAGAGCACGTGCTGGTGATGTCGAATCTCGACAGCGTCGGCGCCGAGCCGGGCCGTGGCACAACGCATTCCCAGGCGGCGTCGGCTTTCTGACCGGCGGCGCGTCCGAAGCGCACGACCGGCGCGGCGCTCGAGCTGGGCATCTCGATGGACCAGGTCGCGGCCAATGCGGAGGGACTGTGGGCGCGCAACCCAGTTGCCCTCGTTGGAGCTGTCGCTGGAGGGCGGCGACACACCGTCTACGGGGTGGCCACCTGCGACGGCGGCTTCAGCTGCGCCTATCTCAACAACTCGTGGGCCAACCAGACGACGCCGATGCCAGCGCGAGACGAACCCGCGCATCGTCTTCGAGCGGCTGTTCGGAGACGTGGGAAGCACGAGCACCGAGGCGAGGCTGGGGCGCGCGCAGCGCGGCAGCGGAGCATTCTCGACGCGGTGATGGACAAGGTGGCCCGTCTGGAAGAAGGGCTGGCGCCGTACGACCGGCGCAAGCTCGACGAGTACCTGGAGGCCGTGCGGGGATCGAGCGGCGCCTGCAACTGGCGGAGCAGCAGGCGGACCGGGAGCTGCCGGACGTAGCGTCTCCGGCCGGCATTCCGCTGTCGTACGAAGAGCACGCGAAAATCATGTTCGACCTAGATCTGTGCTCGCCTATCAGACCGACATGAACGCGTGTCATCTCGTTCATGGTCGGCCGCGAGGAGAGCGGCGCGACGTATCCGCAGATCGGCGTCACCGAGCCGCACCACCCGCTCAGCCACCACCGGGACAATCCGGAGAAGATCGCGAAGCTGGCGCGGATCAACGCGTATCACATGCAGCTGTTCAGCGAGTTCCTGGTCAAGTTGCGCTCCACGCCCGACGGCGACGGGTCGCTGCTGGACCACGTCATGCTCATGTACGGTTCCGCGCTGCGGAACTCGAACCGCCACACGACCGAGGACCTGCCGATCCTGATTGCCGGAGGCGGGTGCGGGCAGATCCGGGGCGGACGCCATGTGGTCAATCCCCAGGGCACGCCGCTGACCGACCTCCAGTACTCGATGCTGCTGAAGCTGGGCGTCCCCGTGGAGAGCTTCAGCGGAAGCACGGACGCGATCCACGAACTCTCGGGGCTCGCGTAGCGGCGTCCTGCACCTTGCGACCGAGGGCTGCCCGCGATGGAGGCGGCGGCCCTCGGTCGTCCTACCGCGGCGGGACCGGCGAGCGTCGGGTTCGGGAAGATGCAGCGCGGGGGAGGAGCCGGTATGCGGCTGAGCAGCAGTTCGATGGCTACGGTGGCGGTTGCGTGGCTCTGGATCGCCGGCGTCGCGGCCGGGAGCACCGACTTCCGACTGATCGAGGCGATCCGGGACCGCGACCACGACACGGTGCACGCTTTGCTGAAGCAGGAGGTCGATGTCAACGCCCGCGAGGGCGACGGCGCGACGGCATTGCACTGGGCGGTTGTGCGGGACGACGTCGAGCTGGTCGAGGCGCTGCTGAGGGCCGGCGCCGACGTGGACGCCGCCAACGACTACGGCGTGACGCCGCTCACGCTGGCCTGCATCAACCGGAACGCGACGGCGGTCGGCCAGCTCCTTGGCGCGGGGGCGAACCCGGACGCCGCGACGTCGATGGGGGAGACGGCGCTCATGACGTGCGCCCGGACCGGCAGCGCGGAGGCGCTGGAGGCGCTCTTCGACCACGGCGCGAGCAGTGTGAACGCCCGGGAGGAATCGCACGGGCAGACGGCCCTGATGTGGGCGGCGGCCCAGGCGGATGCGGACGTGGTGCGGGTGCTGCTGGCGCACGGCGCCGATGTCGGCGCGCGGTCGGACAGCCACCTGCTGCCCGTCAGTCTCGGCGACGGGGACCCCTTCGAGCAATACGTAATGGAGGCGCAGCGCGGGTCCACCCCGTTGCTATTCGCGGCGCGGAACGGCCGCATCGAGAACGTACGGCTCCTGCTCGACGCAGGGGCCGACGTCAACGAGGCGGCTCCCAACGGCCAGTCGGCGCTGGTGACGGCCAGCTTCAGCGGGCAGGGTGAGTTGGCTGCGTTCCTCCTGGAGCGTGGCGCGAACCCGAATGCCGCCGATGCGGGCTATACCGCGCTGCACACCGCGGTGTTGCGGGGCGACCTGCGTTTGGCGAAAGCGCTGTGCGCGCACGGAGCCGACCCCAACAGCCGTCTCACAAGGGGGAGCCGGCAACAGCGGAACCTCAACTGGTTCGGCCTGTCGGGCGCGTTCGCCGGCGCGACGCCGTTCTGGTTGGCGGCCAAGTATGCGGAGATCGACATCATGCGCTTTCTCGTCGCGGCCGGCGCCGATCCCCTGCTGGCGCCGAACAACGAGATCACGCCGCTGATGGCCGCCGCCGGGGCCGGCTGGAGGACTCGTTTCGAGCATTGAAGAGGAATGGCATAAGGGGTGGACGAGGCGGATGATGTGTGTCGGCGGGCGAGCGGGCGACCTGGGAAGGGGTGAAGCTGGCGCTGGAGCTCGGCAACGATGTGAATGTGACGGATCCGGGCGGCAACACCGCGCTGCACGCCGCAGCGAGGCTCGCGTATCCAACGGTCGTCGAGCTCCTGCTCGAGCACGGGGCTAAGCTCGAGATCGAGAACGAGGCCGGCAGGTCGGAGCGAGATTTTCTGAGTGCCGGGATCGACCGGCAGGGCTGCGCTTGTGACAGGCCGGAGCCACGCATGTCCGAACTGACGACACAGGATCGCTCGCGCGGACGGATTGGTGCGGCATCGCAGGGTGGCGTACCGAGGAGTACACAAGCGATGCGGATGAAGCAGTGGGCTTCGGCGACGACAACGACGACGTGCGCGGTCTTGACCTTCGAGGGGGTCTTGCTGTCAGTCGGTTTTCGGTTGTGGAGTCAGAGGCGCGGGAGAGGAAGAGGATATCGCTGGGAGGAGCGCCGGTTTTGAATGGAGGCGAGGAGCAAGGCTTGGGGAATGGTTTAGTAGTTGGAGGAGTGACGGAAAGCGGAGAGGAGGCGGTTGAGGAGGATGAGCGGAGTGGGGAGATTCGCCGGAGAGCGGATTTGCGCGGCAGCGGGGGGGGAGGGGCACTGGCGAGCGGGCAGGTAGGGGTAAAGATTTGTTCGAGCGCGGAGAGGTGGAGGGGTGAAGTGAGTGTGCGGGTGCCCGGATGAGGCTAGTCGCTCGGGCATGGCGATCATTGTTCCTATAAGTGATGGCGGCGGCTACGTATTCGGAGGTGGGGACGCCAGCGTGCAGGAGGCGATGTTCATCGCCAGCCGGGCCAGGATTCCGGTGCTGTCAATCGACTATCGAATGCCGCCGGCGCACCCCTTCCCGGCCGCCGTCGACGATGTCGTCGCAGTTAACGGATATGTGTGGAGAGCGTACGGCGGGGGCGTTGGCGCTGGGCGGAACCTCGGCCGGCGGCGGCTTGACCCTGGCGGCCGTGCACCGCTTCATCGCGCTCGGCCTGGACGTCCCGGGAGCGCTGTACGCAGGGACTCACTGGGCCGATCTGACCAAGACAAGCGATACGCTGTTCACCAACGAGTCGGTGGACCGCGTGCTCCAGACCTACGACGGCCTGTTGCTCGCGGCGGCCCGACTCTATGCGGGTGACCATGAGTTGAAGCACCCGCTCATCTCCCCCCTGTACGGCGACTTCGACGGATTCTCGCCGACCTACCTGGTATCGGGCACGCGAGACATGCTGTTGAGCGACACGGTGCGCACCCACCGGAAGCTTCGCACGGCGGGGACCGTAGCCGACCTGAACGTCTACGAGGGCGTCTCGCATGCGGACTACCTGCTGGTGCCGGACTCGACGGAGTCGCACCAGGTGTTTGCGGAATTGAACGACTTTCTGCTGCGGCATCTGGAGTAGCGCAAAGCCCGGTGTCGACGATCGCGATTGGCCCTTCCTCCCCTGGGGGGTGGGCGCCGCCATTGGAGCCCACCCGCGAATGAGCCGTAACCTGGAGCATTGGGTTTGCGGCCACGCGTGCCTGATCGTGCTGGCGGTGGCCTCCGTGGGGGCCGCGCCGCTCCAGCAGGACGAAGGTCAGCGCCTTGTCGATGCGGTCAGGGATCGGGACGAGGCAGCGGTCGAAGCCCTTCTCGACGCCGGCGTCGATGTCGACGTTCCACGGCCCGACGGCGCCACGGCGCTCGCCTGGGTCGCGCACCGGGACGACATCGCGACGGCCGTCAGGCTGCTCGAGGCGGGTGCGGCGGTCGATGCCGCAAACGGCTACGGCGTCACGCCGCTTGCCTTGGCTTGTCTGAATCGCAGTGTCCCCATGGTGGAGCTCCTGCTCGGCGCCGGAGCCGACCCGAACGCTGCACAGATCAAGGGCGAGACCGTGCTGATGACCGCGGCCCGCACCGGACACTCCGGCATCGTGCGTCGCCTGTTGGCGGCCGGTGCAGCACCCGATACGCGCGCCGGCGCCGCTCGGCAGACGGCCCTGATGTGGGCGGCCGCCGGCGGCCACAGCGGCGTGGTTCGTGATCTGCTCGACGCGGGCGCCGACCCCGGCGTCCATACAGCCGACGGCTTCACCGCCCCTGCGTTCGCGCGCCGAGCGGTTGGCACTCGATTCGGCGCGGCTCCTGCTCGACCGCGGGGCCGACGTCGACGAGGAGGAAGACGAGTCCGATCGCCTCGCCCTTTCTTGGCTATCGCCATGGACCGGGTGGCGATGACGCTGCTCCGGCGCGGCGCCGACCCAAACGTGAGCGCCCCGGGGTACGCGCCGCTGCACCTTGCCGTGCACAGGAACCTGCTGGAGGTCGCGAGGGCGCTGCTCCAGCATGGCGCCGACCCCAATGCCCGCCTGCAGAGCGCCCCGGCGCAGCTGTTCGGGCCCAACCGCGGGGCCGGGTCGGAAGTGCCACCCGAGGCGGCGGATGCGGCCGCAGTGAACGCGACCGGGACCTTCGTTCAACAACCCGCCCGGGAAGCCAACGTCAGCGCGACCCCCTTCTTTCTCGCGGCCAAGTTCGTCAACACTCCCATGATGACGATTCTCGTCGAGGGGGGCGCCCATCCGGAGATGACCATCAACGATGGAACGACCCCGCTCATGGTTGCCGCGGGGCTGACGCAGGTCCAGGGTCCCAGTGTTCGGCGAGGGCAGGTCTCGCCGTTTACGACCAACTGGAACGATACGGACAGCCTGGAGGCGGTGACCAATCGCACGGAGTACGCAAACGCGGTGCGGGATCTGCTCGGCGTGGAGGTCGATGTGCGCTCGGTGCTGCCGGCCGACGATTCCGGGTACGGTTTCGACAATATCGCCGACGTTCTCTCGCTCTCGCCGGGTCTGCTGGACCGCTATCTGATCGCAGCGAACCGGATCGGTCGCCTTGCCTTGGGCGACCCGACCATCCCCCCGCTGACCGATGTGTATCCCGTCTCGAGCTATCTCGCGCAGGGCGGTCGCATGGGCGACGACATGCCGTTCGGGTCGCGGGGGGGCACGTCGGTTCGGCACCATTTCCCCGTGGACGGCGAGTACGTGATCGGCGTCCGCCTGAGCCGGACCGGATTCGACGGCATTCGCGGATTGCAGCGTCAGAACACGCTCGATTTGCGACTCGAGGGCCGGCTGCTGCGCTCGTGCGAGATACGGAGGCGATGGCACCCGACGCGTCCCGTCCGGACGCGACGTCCAGACCTGGATGACGACACCTTGCGGGTCCGGGTCGCCGTTGCCGCCGGGCTGAAGCGCATCAGCGCGGCGTTCGTGAGCGAGCCGCGTCTCCCCGAAGGCATCTTCAAGCCGGTCCCGCCGATCGGTACGTTCGACGAATTGAATCGACCGGACGCGAATGCGGGGGTCGGGCGCATCGAAGTGCGCGGCCCCTACAAAGGGGCGGCGCCCGCCGACACGTTGGGCTGTCGGAACGTCTTTGTCTGCTACCCGGGGGCGCCGTCGGATGAACTGGCGTGTGCCACCGAGATCGCGCGCACGCTGGCCCGCCGCGCGTATCGCCGCCCGGTATCCGATGCGGAGGTGGAGCGGCTGCTGTCGGTCTACCGGGAAGGCCGCGCCGTGGGCGGCTTCGACACGGGAATCGAATGGGTCCTGGAGCGCGTGCTGGTATCGCCGGCGTTTCTGTTCCGAACGCCGATCGAGCCGCTCGACGCGACGCCCGGCGCCCCGCATCGGCTGAGCGACATCGAGCTCGCGTCCCGACTGTCGTTCTTTCTCTGGAGCAGCATTCCCGATGACGAGCTGCTGACCGCGGCCGAGCAAGGGCAACTCAGCGCGCCGGCGGTGCTGGAGCAGCAGGTCCGGAGGATGTTGCGCGATCCGCGCGCCAGTGCGCTCAGCAGCAGTTTTGCAGGCCAGTGGCTCTGGCAGCGCAACCTGCTCGTCCATACGCCGGACCGCGAGTTGTTCGCCGAGTTCGACGACAACCTCCGGCAGGCCTTGCAGACCGAGACACGGCTCTTCCTCGAGAGCCAACTGCGCGCGGATCGACCGGCACTGGAGCTCCTCACTGCCGACTACACCTACGTGAACGATCGCCTGGCGCGCCACTACGAGATCCCGGACATCTACGGCGGCCACTTCCGGCGGGTGGAGCTGACCGGGGACCGCCCCGGCGGACTGCTCGGCCACGGCAGCATCCTGACCGTGACGTCGTACGCGAACCGGACGTCGCCCGTACTGCGGGGGAAGTGGCTGTTGGAGAACGTTCTCGGTTCCCCTCCGCCCCCGCCCCCGCCCGATGTGCCGGCGCTGGAAGAGAACGACGAGCGAGAGGTCCCCGCGTCCGTGCGGGAGCGTCTGGAGGTGCATCGACGAAACCCGGTGTGCGCGAGCTGCCATCGGCCGATGGACCCCTTGGGCTTCGCGCTCGAGAACTTCGATGCGACCGGCCGCTGGCGGGATCTTGGCGCAGGCGGGGATCCGATTGACGCATCCGGGCATCTGCTGGACGGTGCCCCATTCGATGGGCCGAAGGAGTTCCGGGAGGCGCTGGCTTCCCGAGGCGAGGAATTCGTGGGTACGGTGGTAGAGAAGCTGCTGACCTACTCCCTCGGTCGGGGGCTGGAGTTCTACGACATGCCGGCCGTTCGGGAAATCATGCAACAGGCGGCCGCCGAGGATTATCGGTGGTCGGCGTTGATTCTGGGAATCGTCAGAAGCCTGCCGTTTCGGATGCGGGCTGCGGAGCCGCCGGAGCCGTCCGTGTCGGCGCCGCCGTTGCCGGGGAGACAGCCATGATCATCACGCGCAAGCATTTGTCCCGCCGCACCATGCTTCGAGGTTTGGGGGCGGCGGTGGCGCTGCCGCTGCTCGATGCCATGGTCCCCGCGTTGTCGGCCGCAAGGCGAACCGCCGCCAACGGGCCGCGTCGCATGGCCGTGGTCTATACGCCGAACGGCATGATGATGAACGACTGGACTCCGGTCGGTGAGGGCGCCGACTTCGCGGTGTCGCGGATTCTCACCCCGCTTGCGCGGCACCGGGGTCGGATGCTGGTGCTGAGCGGGCTGGCCGACCGGTATGGATGGCCCCAGGCCGACGAAGGGACAGGCGACCACGCCCGTGCGTCCGGGACCTTCCTGACCGGAGTTCATATCAAGAAGACCGAGGGCGCTGACATCCGCGCCGGCGTGTCGATGGACCAGGTTGCCGCCGAGGTTCTCTCGCAGGAGACCCAGCTCGGATCGCTCGAGCTGGCGATCGAATCGGTGGAGTTTCTCGGCGGTTGTGACGCCGGCTACAGTTGCGCCTACGCGAACACCATCTCGTGGCGGACCCCCACCACTCCATTGCCGATGATGAACGACCCCCGCGCGGTGTTCGAGCGGATGTTCGGAGTCAGTGACACGACGGATGCCGCGGCGCGGGTTGCGCGGATGCGCAAGGAGCGAAGCATCCTCGACTCCGTGGCCGAGGACGCCGTTATTTTGCGCGGAACGCTCGGCACGCATGATGCCGTCAAGCTCACGGAATACCTCGATGCGATTCGCGATGCCGAACGCCGCATCGAGCTGGCGGAGGCCCAGGGCGAGCGGCAGCTGCCGCTGGTGGACCGCCCCTCCGGGATTCCATCGACCTTCGAGGGGCAGGCCCGCTTGATGTTCGACCTCCTCACGCTCGCGTTCCGCACCGATATGACCCGGGTGGCCACTTTCATGCTGGGTCGTGAGGTCAGCGGGCGGGCCTACCCGGAGATTGGCGTGCCCGATTCGCACCACCCGGTCTCACACCACCAGTACGACCCTGAGAAGCTCGAGAAGCTGTCGAAGATCAACACGTTCCATGTGGAGCAGTTCGCCTACTTCGTGGACAGGCTGAGCGAGATCGGGGACGGGGATCGGTCGCTGCTCGACAACTCGATGCTGCTGTACGGATCGGGCATCAGCGATAGCAACGTGCACATGCACGATGACCTGCCGCTAGTCCTGGCGGGCGGCGGTGGGGGCACGATCCAGGGCGGGCGTCATCTGCGGTATCCGAAGGATACGCCCATCACGAACCTGTTCCTCAGCATGCTCGACCGCATGAACGTTCCGGTGGAGTCGATCGGCGACAGCACCGGACGTGTCGAGCACTTGTCCGGTGTGTAGGCTCGAACCCGCCACCCGACGGGGGCTCACGACAGGCCGCGCCGCCTCCTTGGGCGAGCGAGCCGATCCCGACGTGGGATGAGAAGGCCGTCCGGCCGGAGGCGATTGCATCGAGCGCCGCACCCGCCTCGCGAGCCGAGCCGACAGCGACGCGGTTGACTCGGAGGACGACGTCCCCGGACTGCAGGCCGCCCATCTCAGCGGGGCTTCCCCGCCCCACGCCGCCGCGGGCGGTTCACGCCGGCGGAGCGTCCTTGGCGTGGCGGATACGCACCGGGAGCTCGGGTACTGGCTGGTGCTCCTCAGCGGCCTGGTCGCGCGTCGCCGCGAGCAGTGCCCGTAGCGTCGCGCCAGCGGGTACGCGATGACGCCGTGACCGAGGGTGCTGAGCAGGACAGTGAGGGTCACGACCGATTCCAGGAGCGCGGATGCGGGCAGGCCTTCTCCGACCACGATCCGCACATACAGGATCGAGGCGAGTCCGCGCGGCCCGAACCAGCCGACGAACGCCAACGTCGCTGGTCGCAGCCCCGATCGAGCCAGACTGAGGGCGACCGGACCATGCGGACGACGCTGAGGCTCAAGATCGCGTACAACCACACCCGGTGTCCCAGTGCGGGAGCGCCGCGGGTACCATGACCCCACCGACGATGAAGACACGACCAAGGTGAGCAGCTGCCCCTCCGCCTCACTGAACTCGTAGATGCGCGCGCTGACGGCGCGTGTCGTGTTGCCGAGGGTCAGACCGGCGACGAACGCGGCGATGAAACCGTTGCCCCCACGAGCTCGGCGCCGCGAAGGCCAAGCCCGCGAGACCCAGGAGGGACAGCCGCTGAAACGGCTCGTTCATCCAACCCGCGCGAATGGACCAGCCCGACGCTCCGGCCGCCCAGATATCCCACCGCCGCCCCCACCAGAGGACCCAGCGTCACCTGCAGGATCGCGAAGGAGAGCCAGTGGCCGAGATCGCCGCTCTCCGCCGTCGCACCCGCGAAGGCGATCGCAACGAGAACGAGGGGCAGCGCGATCCCGTCGTTGAGACCGCTCTCCACGTTGAGGCCTTGGCGAACTCGGAGCGGGACCAGCACGTTGCTCACCACCGCTTGTCCGAGCGCCGCATCCGTGGGCGCGAGGACCGCACCCAGGAGAATCACTTCCCAGAGCCCAAGGCCCGGCAGGACCATCCACGCCGCGAGGGCCCCCGCGGCAACGGTCAGGGGAAGACCGATTCCCAACAGCCGAGCCGGCAGACTCCCTTCCAGGCGGAGGTGTGCGACGTCGATGCGCGCGGCATCGGTGAAGAGTACGAGCACCAGTGTGAACTCGATGAGACCCTCCAGCAGGCTGCTGTCGGAACCGAGCCACCCGAGCTTCCCCAGCGCGAACCCGAGCCCTACGAAGACCATCGGAGGCGAGACGACTCCGCGTTCCATTCGCCGAGAGACGATGCCGAAGGCGACGACCGCCGCCGCGAACGACGCGAGGAGTGCAGGTTCCATCGAGCACAAGCGCCCCGGGAACCCAGCCGGGGGCGCGGTCGTCGTCGGGCTCTCGTATCTAGTGTGCCGTCCTGGAAAGACGTGACATAAATCGACCCGCTCTTGCCGCGGGCCAATCGACCAGTGGCGGTCCACATCGAACAGCGATACCGTCGCGTAGGCGAGGGCAGAGAGCTTCCCGCCCGTCGGGACAAAATCCACGAGAGGGCCGTGCCGCGAATTATGCGGCGCACTTGAGGGATACGACACTAGCCCATCTTTACCAAGATTGGCGGTCGTTTTGCGGATTTGGGCGGTTTTCGGGGAGTGGTATGCCTGTAACTTGTTGAGTACAAAGGATCGGGTTTTGGAAGAGTGGAATGTAGTGCCATAATCGTATAGGAAGGGTTGCTTTGGACAAGGTGCGTCCGCTATGGTGGGCGCCATGTTCATTCGGCGCACCCAAACCCGGCGGACCGAGGACGGAAAGCCCTACTTCTCTCATCGCCTGGTGCACGCCGAACGCCTCGGCAGCACCGTGCGCCAGCGCACCCTCCTCAATCTCGGTCGCCATTTCGATATTCCCCAGGCGGACTGGCCGCTGCTGTGCGCCCGCGTCAACGATGCGTTGAGCGGTCAGGCGCCGCTGGTGGCCGATTGCCCGCCTGCCGTGGACGAAGAAGCGCAACGGGTCGCGGCGCAGTTGATCGCCCGCGGCCCGGCCGCGACGACCGCCGGACCGACCGATGTGCAGCCGGTCGATGTCGACTCGTTGCGGCTGGTCCGCCCCCCGCAGCGTCGGTGTGGAGCAGGTCGGCCTGTGGGCGCTCGAGCAACTGGACCTGCCGGCGCTGCTGACCCGGTTGGGCGTCAACGGCGCCCTGCGCAGCGCGGCCACCGGCGCCCTCGTCGGGCGTTTGGCCGCGCCCGCCTCGGAGCGCGCGACGCACCGCTGGCTGCAGGAGCGCAGCGGTCTCGGGGAGTTGCTCGGTGTCGACTTCGAGACCGTCGGCGCGATGCAGCTCTACCGCGCCTCGGACGCGCTGGTGAAGCATCGCGAGGCGATCGAGGCGCATCTGTTCGACCGCGCGATGGGGCTGTTCGACCTGCAGCCGACGGTGACGCTCTACG